CTCTTGCTCTCGGCCCCCGCAGGCCCCGATGGGAGAGGGAGGGTGGGGAGGGAAGGAGAAGCGTGGAAAAGGGCTGCGGGAAGAGTGGGAAGGGGTGGAGAGGGGAGGGAGGAGAGGGGAAGGAGGAGAGGGAGGGGAGGGGAGGGAGGAGGGGAGAGGAGAGGGGAGAGGGGGGAGGGGAGGCTGGGGTGGAGAAGGGAGAGGGGAGGGAAGGAGAAGGGTGGAGAAGGGACTGCGATTCTCTCCGCCCCTTGTCGGGCCTCTCTGGGCTGTCGTCGCCACGGCCAGCTGCGCTCCGGAAGCCGGGTCGGAACGTGCACGAGGAGAGAGAGGTGTCCGAGGGGGGGAGGGGGGGGGAGCTCCAGTTTGAGCGTGTGCGGATCGGTTCCGCCACGGAGGGCGCTGGCCACGAGGGAATCTCGGATAAGGAACGCTGCCCATCTCGGGTCTCGCTTGCGCCCGGGGCGCACGGGAAGCGCCGAAGGGAACACCCGCAGAACAGAAAGCCCTTTTCGACAAAGACGGGGCCACATCTCAGAGTCCAACAAGTCCTGTAAGACGTGAGCAGTGTGGGGAGCTCGTTATTCCAAAGCCCTTCTTCCCCTTGCGTGGAGGAGTTGATCACCGCTCCCGATTGGCACCCCCAGAGTCAATGCTGGTATCCCCCAACATCCCTGTCCTCAAAACAATATTTCGGCAGACTCTGGATCATTTTCGGGCGGTACGTGTTGACAGGGACGGCGGGGGGGGCGGGGGCGTAGAATTGCGGGGGGGGGGGCTTATAATGGCCCCGCGTGCGCATCCCACCATCCCACCATCACCACCCGCTGTGGGTGCACGCCCCGGCACACCACGCTGATCACCCCGCCGCCACTTCGCTCTGGCTTCTGACAAGGAGCGTGTGAGGGCGACATGCCCCTCGATGCGTGCTGTCACTTGTACTGGCGCACCCGGCACACCCTGAGAGTGCGCCGCGCACGTGCCGCACCTGGCGCGGGTTGGCCGCGCGGCAGACTGGGCCAACGTGGAGCCCGCGGCGCATCTGGCGCACCAGCCGCGCCTAGCACGCCTGGGTCCGTGGGGCTCCTAGCGTACCCGGGACGCGCGGCACACCTCTCGAGGTTCACGCACCGGGCTTCTGCTTTGCTTACCGCTGGCGACCATCCAATGGCGAACCCAAGGTTGTCCCAAGAGGGCTCCAGATACGTAACCGAAGATGTCTCCCAATAACCGCACGAGACAGCCTTCAACGAGTCTCCAAGAGGCCCTACGATCAAACCAAGCTGGCTCCAAGCGGCCGCGGCGCTTCCCAAGGAAAGCACCTGGGGGTCCACGGGGGCCCCGAGACGACCTCAGGAGTGCAATCAAGCGCTCCAGGAGCGCCCAATGCGGGGCTAATTCCGACCCTTGCCGCCAAGGCGCCCGACGGGGCCCCAGGAGAGCCCCAAGGGAGCCACAGCGACACACACAAAATAGCTGCAAGGCGCCCAACAGGGCCCCAGGAGGGCCCCAAGAGAGCCACAAGGGCATCCAAAATAGCTGCAAGAGGGCCACGAGGTGTCTCAGATAAGTTGCCAAGAGGATCCCATAACCCGAAAGATCCGCGAATGCAATCATGGGTGACTCTTGGGTCTGGTCGGGTTGATTCCCGTTTGTTCCACTGCTTGCTTCTACTACTCCCAAATCAGGGCCAATCGCCCAGGGATCGTTACTGGATGGGCTGGTGGGGATACGCGCGGTGTGAACAACTCCTAGCTGAACTCGAGCTGCTGACGCGGCGCACCGCATGAAAAACCAGAGCGCTTGCGCGCAGCCCGAGTGTCCGCGCAGCCAGCTCCCTTCCTGTACGCCGCTCGCGCGCAGGAGCGGTTGAGCTGTGCGGAGGGGTGCTCGCCCAGGATTTTCCGAGACCGCCCGTCCAACGAGGCAGCAGCGGGCTGGACCGAGGCGAACGAACTGACCGCGACCCCACTCAGAGTTGGTCCCGTCTTCAAGGGTCCGGGGATCGAATGGCAGGCTGAGGCTGCAGCCGAGGTAATACCGAGCTGCGCAAGCAGAAACGATTCTGTCTTGTCGCTTTTACTTGTCTATGCGTTGCCTTGCACAGATCGCCTGCCTCTGCTATTGTGTGATCTGGTTTGACTTGCCTCGCAGTGCGCTGTGGATTACACCGCTTGCCTTGCTCTGTTTGCTGTGCTTAGATGTGGTAGTTCCTCGCTTGGGCGGGCACGCGATGCATACGGTCAGCGACGCCGCAGGATGCAGGCTCATAGCCAGCGGGTGACACCGCAGAGCAAAGGGCGGGATGCAGGCGCAACTCTCGACGGTGAGAGTGGGGGAGGTGACGGGGCAAGGAGCGCTGAGCCAGACGAGGAAACGACACCCTGCCTGCCCCCTCTCGCCCGCTCCCACCCATCCCCGCCCCCTCCTGTCATGGGGAAAAAATGAAAGGGGCCCAAGGACACGCAAATAAATACACACAAATAACTAGATTCCCCTATTTTCTTATATTTTCTGGGTTTCGTCTCCCCCCCAGCTCCCATATTTCCCCATATTTTCCTGGGAGTCGACGATTAATTGTGTCTGTGTGTGTGTTTCCCCCTCCTGAATGGAATGTGATGCAAGGCGGGTCTTGGACACAGCTGGTCTTCCCCCTGCGGCTGGCTTCTAGCCCTCGGGCCGTCTTCCGTCGCCGCCCAATCACTTTAGGGCTGGTTGGTGTCGGATAGTGCCCAATGCAATAGGAGCTCGACCACGAGACACCTCCCACAAGAAACCCAACCCTGAGACCCCAGGACTTCCATTGATTCGTGGTGTGGAACGCCACGCGTGCCATCGCAAGACCATCGAAGCCCAAGAAACCCAGGGCACCCTGGAGGCAAGCAGGGTGGGCATTGGCATGGGCCTCCCCTGCAGTGTGTCCGTTGGTGCCCACACGAATACCCAGTCCGCCTGACGGCGCGGGCCGGGCCTTGCGCTTGCCCCGAGCGCCCAGGTGCGCCCAGCCCTGGAGCCTGCCCCCGGACCCTGCGCCCTCAGGACTGCTCTCCTCCATGCGGGCTCCGTCTCCCCCGGAGGCGCCAGGGAAGTCTCGGCCCCTTCCCTGGGGCTGGCCGTCTATGTTACACAATCAGGGCTTCTTCTTGACGGCCCCAGGCTCCGGGAACGCACCCTGGAGGCTCAACGTTGCCCAGGAGATTCCACTGCGACGAGGGGTCGGTCCTTCCCCCTCGGTGTGTGAACGAGCAAGACGCACTCCAACCTGGAAGGAGGAGGAACGGGGAATGGCAAGGCGAGGACGGCGCTTTCAATATGGGTGCGAGTTGTCGGACCCCGGGGGCGGGGGCTTTCCATCGAGCGGGGGCCCCATTCGACAGCGCACAACCATAGCACCCCCCGAATGCCACGCCGAGAACCCTGGGGGTCGCATAGGCACGGGTGCTCAGTTGTCAGCTCATCACCGCGCCGAACTCCGCCGCAACGCCTGCTCACACAGGCAGCAGCCCGCGAAGCGCCGCCAGCAGGCCGATCGCCAGTCCAATCGCCACCGCCGCCAGCGCCGGCAGGCCCACCCTCACCGCCAGCTCGGCCTCCTCGAACAGGTCGTGGCCTCGGAAAGACCTCGTGTCTGCCGGGGAGCAAGAAAAGCGTCACAACACGCAGGCCATCGGGAGCTCCGCGCCGCCGACTTCCCCGAGATCGGCGCTGGACCCCTCTCGCCACGCTCCCTCCCCCGCGCGAGGAGCGCGCAGGGAGCGAGGCCGGAGGCGACTCCCGGGGTGCGGGAAGGGCAGCCCGGCGCCGACTCGAGGAAGCCGCGCGGACCTGCGAAGGTCTGGTTTGGGTGCCGCTGTTCGCTCCGCGGGTCTGGCGAGACGCTCTCCAGCAGCGCCTGCCAGTCGTCCGCACCCTCGCCCTCCGGCACCGTCATCGCACAGAGCGTGGCGCGGGCGGCGTTCGGCTGCCCCAGCACCCGGATGCTCAGGTCCGCCACCGCCGCGTGCGGGATCGCCGACACCTTCAGGTCGCCCCCGTTGTCGGCCAGCGCCAGGGAGGCGGGCGGCAGTTCGCTCATGGGCCCCATGACTCCTGGGCGGATGATGGTGTACTCGACGTCGGGGCAGGCCCGCAGCAGCATCTCCCCTTCGTAGTTCCACGCCTTCGCCATCGAGCCGAGGCCGTTGAGCAGAATGGAGAACAGGTCCCAGGGCCTCTCGCCCTTGCCTGTCAGCCTTACCACGCGCTTGCAGGTGCCGCTGTCACGCGCGGCCTGGATGACGTGCCCAACGCCGACGCAGTTGACGCTCTTCGGGTGCTTCGGGTCCGACGTCGGGTCCTGCCACAAATCGCTGAGCTGCGAGATCCGCCGCGATCCGTGCAGCGCCAGGCAGGCGTCGCACCCTTCCATCAGCCTCCTGTTTATAAGTGCAGAGACGATTCATTCCAACAAGAATATTAACAATGCTAATCAGACTAATGATGATAGCGATTCGTAGCAACAATGAATATGGTAATAGTGATAAAACTGAAAGATCGTAATGGTAGAAGAAGAAACAACCGTATACATCATCTCAAGAAGTCGGCAACGACAGCAGCAGCAACAACACCACCAACAGCAATAGCATCAACAACATCGATGATTTCAGGACGGTTCGCTCTTATCTGCTCGAGTGCCAGTTAAAACGTATATCCCCTAACCTCGATGCCCACCCTCTTCGTCTTCGATAGTACCCCCCCTTAAGGTTTCTTTCTTACCTGCACAATGTACTTCGTGCAGCCTCTAAGGCAGGGGAAAAGAGGACGGATGGAAGGAAGGGACAAGGGGCAGGCGGGTTGCTCAAGCGTGCGTCCTGTGTGAATCGCAAGAAAGTCTCGAGCGATAGCGCGATGCACAAATACATCGTAAGGAAATCCGCAGCGAGAGCGTGATTACTGAGTGTCGAGGGCGCGGCGTCTGAATAAATTGGGAGGACGTCCCACGCGAGAGCGCGATTCCCGTATAACGTGTGAGGACGTCTCGCGCGAAGGCGCGATTTGGGAATCAATTGTGAGGAAGTATGAGGCAGAAGCCGCTGCTGTTGTAAACCAGGGGCCAGGGGCACAGTTTGGTGGCACCTCACTTTCCCTTGTAAAAACCGCATGCGAGACACGGGAGAAGCACTTTAATTGAAAACTGCACTGGTTACCAGGCAGGGAAGATCAAGAATCACTCATGAAAAGTGAAGAAATGATCAACAACAGCAACAACAGCAGCAGTAGCAGCAACAACAACAGCAGCACCAGCAGCGACAACAACAACAACAACAACAGCAGCAGCAGCAGCGACAACAACACCACCACCACCAACAACAACACCAACAACAACAATAACAGCACTAACACCAGCAACAAGAAGACCAACAACAACAACAACAACAACAACAACAACAACAACAACAATTACTAGCACGTGGGGACACTCCGTTCTCACCAGTGCCAGGGTTTTCATAGGAGGCGGGCAATACCCCCACTTTGTGGGGGGGCCGGTTCAAGCTCTACCAAATTTCCAAACGACTCTTCGCCACCACCCACACCCAGCTTCCCGCCCTATGACGTTCGGACACTTCACTTCGTGGCATGCGGACGACCGTGGCTACTATTCAGGGCCCCGCGGCCGACGACGACGGCGTGCGCGCGCGAAGAAAAAACAAATGTGTCCCGCATGGTATTATTTGACAGGGATGATGGCCCTGGCAGGTGCGCAACCGTTGTGGCAGAAGTTCGACAAAGTTGCTAGCAAAAGCCCGTTTGGCAGAAATGTTTAAAAAGTGTTGGATTTCCTACGAATCCGCAAGAGCGCGCGGGATGAATTTTTGACAACTTTTTGTTTGAAAAACCATTTTTTTTTTAAAAAAAAAACAAAGTTTTTATGTTAAAAGCGTTACGAAAACTAAGGTTTTGGAAGGATTTCGTCTTGCGCGCGCGAATGTCCACTTTACCTTATTTTTTGCAAGGGATTCTTGAAATTTGATTATATTAGAACAAGAAATGTCATTTTCTAGTGTTTTTTGCAAGGGAAAGCGGGGGACAACAAAACAACCGGATCTTGATCACATCGAATTACCTGAGGCTTCCTCACGAAAATGATGAAAATGTAGCTGCGGCCTAGGCGCGGCGGGGGGGCGTGCACCAGGGGGCCCAACAATAATTATTCTTTAGAATTAATAATGTTCAACAACAACAACAACAACAACAACAACAACAACAACAACAACAACAACAACAACAACAATTACTAGCACGTGGGGACACTCCGTTCTCACCAGTGCCAGGGTTTTCATAGGAGGCGGGCAATACCCCCACTTTGTGGGGGGGCCGGTTCAAGCTCTACCAAATTTCCAAACGACTCTTCGCCACCACCCACACCCAGCTTCCCGCCCTATGACGTTCGGACACTTCACTTCGTGGCATGCGGACGACCGTGGCTACTATTCAGGGCCCCGCGGCCGACGACGACGGCGTGCGCGCGCGAAGAAAAAACGAATGTGTCCCGCATGGTATTATTTGACAGGGATGATGGCCCTGGCAGGTGCGCAACCGTTGTCGCAGAAGTTCGAAAAAGTTGCTCGCAAAAGCCCGTTTGACAGAAATGTTTAAAAAGTGTTGGGTTTCCTACGAATCCGCAAGAGCGCGCGGGATGAGATTTTGACAATTTGTTGTTGAAAAACCATTGGTTTTTTGATGTTTTTATGTTAAAATCGCTGCGAACACTAAGGTTTTGGAAGGATTTCGTCTTGCGCGCGCGAATGTCCACTTTACGTTATTTTTTGCAAGGGATTCTTGAAATTTGATTATATTAGAACAAGAAATGTCATTTTCTATTGTTTTTTGCAAGGGAAAGCGGATTACAACAAAACAACCGGATCCTGTACACACCCTCTTTTCTGAGGCTTCCTCACGAAAATGATGAAAATGTAGCTGCGGCCTAGGCGGCGCAGGGGGGGCGCGCACCAGGGGGCCCAACAATAATTATTCTTTAGAATAAATAATGTTCAACACCAATCGGCATGCACACACACACACAAAATGCACCCTGGCGGGAAAACAGCAGTGGGAGAGCACATGGGAGACCATGCAAGAGACCATCCGGAGGATCAGCCGGGGGATCGAGCAGGAGCCCACGTGGGAGACCATGCGGGTGACCATGCGGGTGACCATGCGGCAGACAATGCAAGAGACACCTCGGGTGACCATGCGGGAGACCACGCACTACGGACGCCGAATATCTGGCCGGGCCTGCCCCGAGCCCCAGACACACGCTTGAGATGAGACCCTCGCAGACACGCTGGCTCGAGCACTTCCGGAGGCCCACGCGCATTCCTCGGACCGGCGCTGAGCCCCCCTCCCTGGCACGCGGAGCGCACCAGGGGCGGCGCCAGAGGCGCCGCCAGGGGGGTACAGCACAGATCCCGAGCCATCCGCGCGGACCTCCGAAATCGCAATTCTTCCACTTAGATCCTCCCCGGCTCAGCGTCGGTGAGGTCGCCGCGGGCCAGACTCCTACCTCTAGGTGATGACAGGTGCCACGGACCCTGACCGAAACCGCATCTGTGCCCACCCAGGGAGGCAGGTCGGCCAGTGCGGCAAACGCGCATAAAGCAATGGGGATGGGCAGCGGCCTGTCCCGAGGCACCAGGAGGGCACCGACACCGCCACTCCCTGGATCTCTCTGGGGGGCGCGTGGTGACCAGGACCTCCAGGCGAACCCAGCCGTGCGACGAGGGCAGGGTAGCGGCCTCGGTATCTTGTGGCATCTGCGGCCCCAGAGGCCTCGACCCCGTCACGGGGGGGGAGAGATCTTCGCCCCAGGGCAGGTGCTGGCAGCCTCGGGGCCAGGGCACGGGCCCCGGAGGCCGAAGGCAAGGCAAACAACGCCCAGGTTGGACAACTCACGACGGAGATACTGATCTCTGAAGGGCCCCCCCCAGGACACACAAAGAAATACACACAAATGAAAATATTCCCCATAGTTTCCCATATTTGAGGGGTTTTCGTCTTCCCCCCCACTTCCCATATTTCCTATATTTTCTGGGGGATCGACGATTAATTGTGTCTGTGTTATGTTCCCCCTCCTGAATCTCTTCGACTCTGATCGAAGATTGACGGAACACCCTTCAGCGCAAAGCCCTCTAATGAAAGGCGGCCAGGGGCACTCGACTTGCGCACGGCGCCATCTTCCGAGTGGACCCCATCAGGGAAGCGAATCAACGTCCAACAACAACGGAATGTACCCAGCGAAACGCACGTCGATTCGAGAAACCGACTTGGGACTGTACCTGCACACTCGCATGCCGATGTCGAGCGGACCAGTGCAGACTTCCTCAGCCGACTGTTCTGGGTGGTTTCAGGGCCCAATCTTCTGTCTAGCGGTGACGATCCTCACCGACTCCGCGTCGGTGACGTCGCCGGGCACCAGGGTAACACCCGGCAGCGCCGCGACCCAGGCCGTCACGGCGGCGGGCGACGCGTCTGCGGCGCTGCTCGGCGCGGCCGCGTCAGCCTCGTGCCGCGAGAGGCAGCGCACCTGGTAGCCCTGCGCCGAGAGCTGCTGAACTGCCAGGCGCCCAACCTTGTGAACAAAGAAAGCCGTGCACACACACACACACTTTTGCGTCGGCGGCCAGGCTGAGTGACTGCGCTGGAGATGAACCACACACACACAGAAACACGCACAGAAACACGCACACACACAAACACGCACACACACACACACCACACACACACATACACACACATACACACAAACACACACGCACATTCGCACACGCACACGCACACGCACACGCACGCACGCACACACACACACACACACACACACACACACGCACACACACACACACCCGCACCCGCACGCACGCACGCACGCACACACACACACACCTACACACGCCTACACACACCTATACACACACACACGCAGACACACACACACACACTTACACACACACACACACACACACACGCACACACACATTCACACATTCACACACACACACACACACACACGCAGGCACACACACGCACACACACACACACACACACCCTGAGATCCTGGCGTAGAAATTCCTCGCAACAGGCGATTTCGCCTGGTCGTGTCGGGCGCTGGAACCCTCACAAACCGATCCGGCTTGAGAAATGTCGCAGAAGGAATCGGTCTGCGGCTCTGGTCGTGATTTTCCTCGATGTTGTAATCTGTTCGCGACGTCGGATCTCAGGGGATCATTGCCAGGCCCATCCTGGGCCCAGGATTAGTGGACCGGCGCCCAACCCTCAGAAGGAAGAGAACTGTCCGCATTCACCTCTGACGATGTGCGTGCTGCTTTCAGCCGCGGCTCTTCTCCTCCAGTTCGGCTCCCGGGGGCTGCTCTTGGGCCCCGGGGGCCATCAAACAGAGATCTGGGGCACTGGGAGCGCCGCGGCGGCTGATGGGCCTATTTCCCACCACCACCACCACCAGAGAGGAGGAGGAGGAGGAGGAGGAGGAGGAGGAGGAGGAGGAGGAGGAGAGGAGGAGGAGGAGGAGGAGGAGGAGAGGAGGGAGGAGGAGGAGGAGAAGGAGAGGAGGAGGAGGAGAGGGAGAGGAGGAGGAGGAGGAGGAGGAGGAGGAGGAGGAGGAGGAGGGGTCAGGAGCTCTTGGGCCGCGGATCGAAACACACACAGCTCGCTGGCTGCCTGGAGCTTCTCCCCCGTTGGCTTCACAGGGAGGCGAGCACACCGCTCCCGGGATCGAGAATGGGCGCCGCCAGAGCCCAGGAGAGCCTCCACCAGCAGTACCTCGAGCTGCGGCCCTGGAGCTCCCGAGCCCTTCCCCGCGGGAAGTTTGCAGTCACGGGTCCGTCTTCACAGTGGTTCCGCGGCGCCCGGCAGCGGGCCCCCCCCGGCAGACGAGGAGACGACGCCTCGCTTTCACGGGCCAGATCCTCGGAGCTCTGCACTCTCGACGTCGGCGCTGTTCGCAGGGGCGAGGTCGGGGAACGCGCGAAGGTTTGGGGCCCTCTGCGGCGCCAGATCTGGCCGAAACTGGCGCGTTCCCCCAAAGCGTCGACGGCATCATGTCTGCTTGGCGGGCTCCGGAACCCCTGAACCCAACAATGCTGTCACCTCTCGAACCCTGCACCAAAACGTGCTGCCATCTCTCGGGGGGGCGATTTGAACTTCCGCCGGCCCTCCTCCGGCCTCCGCCCGCGGAGCCGCCGCCGCTGTATGTCGGCCGCCTGCCGCCGACCTGCCGCCGCCTTCCGCCGAGGAAAAGATGGCAACCCCTCCTCCTCCTCCTCCTCCTCCTCCTCCTCCTCCTCCTCCTCCTCCTCCTCCTCCTCCTCCTCCTCCTCCTCCTCCTCCTCCTCCTCCCGATCCTCGGCGGCGGAGGCCCTCTCTCGAACGCCGCGTTTGACGGCAACCGGCCGCAGTGCCTTCCCGGTCGTGCCGGTCACGGCCACGCAGCCGGGCCCCGCCGTGCCCCCCGCGCGCACCTGGGGCAGCAGACACTCGGCCGACACCGTTTCGGCACTGTTTCGACACTTTTCCGGGTGCTCGAAATTATTTGTGGGATGTGGTCTCTACCTGCGATGGGAGGAACAGAACCCTTTGTGAGGTCCCGAACCTGCTCCGACCCCATCTGGGAGGCCCTCCCTCCAGGCCTCGGACAAAAATAGCGAACACTCATGCCACATTCATCTGACGACGCCTCCCCCTCCCCCCAATGCTCAAAGTGGGCGGTGGGCCTGATGAGAGGCACGACGAGGACGCGAAGGGGCCGTGGGCGCCCCGTTCGGAGCTTCTCGAGCGGGACGCGGCCAACGAGAGCGGCGCCAAGGAGGGGCCGAGGATCGGGCCAGGCGAGAGGGTGCGATAGCCACGGGGGTGTTTGAGGACCAGCTCACGTAGCTGATTATTATCCCGGCGCCTCCCGGCGCCAGAGGCGGCCGTGTATCGAGGAAGGGGCCCCTCGGTGGGGCCGAGACCAGCTGCATGCAGCAGACTTCGTACCCCCCCCCCTTTTCCCAATCCCCCCCGTTCGTCCGGCCCGAGGGGAGGCAGGGATGCAGGGATAGCCTTGGGAAGGCTGCCCATCTCTACCTGGCCATCGCTCGGACGTCCATGCCCTGTGTTTTTGTTCGGTTTCCTGTGTAGCTTCTTCGCCAAATGCTCAACGACGCTCCTCGACGACCCTCGCCGAGAAAAAATGCACAGGTCCGAGCGATGCCAGGACTACTGTGTGGGTGGACTGTGCCCATGGCGCGCCGCCGAGGGGGATAGCCTTGGGCCTTGGGAAGGTTGCCCATCTCTACAATCAAAAACCCTAATAAGGACGCGCGGTAAGGACGCAAGACCCTTGGAAGCCGAATTTAGGATTTTTGGGGTGGCGGACGACGAAAACCCCAACCGAGGACGCAAGAGCAAGGAAGAGCAAGGACGCAAGGGTAGCCTGAGCAAAGTCGCGCGTCCTCATTCGGGTTTTTGCCTCTCCTGTGCGGGTGCACTGTGCCCACGGCGCGCCGCCGCGGGGGAGCCCAGGCCGGGGCGTGCCGCCGCCGGAGCGGCGCCGCGCCGGCGTCCGCGGGGGCCGGCGCGGGGAGGAGTGCACTCGGCACGCGGAGGGGCTCCCGACGGCGGCGCGGCATCGGAGCAGGCTGCTCTCCCAGGAGAGCCGACGCCGGAGACGTTGTCCAGTGCGGGGCCCCTGGAGAGTCCTCGGCCCCTTCCCCAGGACTGGCTCTGCACATCCCGAGTCCTTCGTTCACGGCCCCGGGGCCCGGCGAGGGCCCCAGGAGCTAGCAGAAGAAGAAGAAGAAGAAGACACGGTATAACCACCAACTTTCGACGGTCCGCGCGGATTTCGTGGATCTGCGCTGGACCCCCCTCCCTGGCGCGCGGAGCGCGCCAGGGGCGGCGCCGGAGGCGCCGCCAGGGGGGCCCAGCGCAGATCCAAGAAATCCGCGCGGAGCTCCAAGAGTGTATAGGTTTATGGCGTTTTGGCTTCTTCGAAGAGCCCGAAACAACGGCAAGAAACCTCCGTCTCGGTTCTCTTTCCATGCGCTGGATCTCGGGGTTCCCTGGGGATTGTTTTAACCGACCGCTATCCCCATGAACGTGGCCTGGGCCCCAGTGGCCGAGTGACCACCTAGTTGGGGATACAGGCCGTTCCATTCGGGTTTCGAGGCGCGTGTGTCCCTAGCTGGGGTGCAAGGGTGCGGGGGTCTGGATGGTGATGGGGATGAGGATCGGTTAAATGATGCCAAAGTCCCTCCCGAGCACCAGCGCGGCCGCGAACAGCGAGGCGCCGAGGGCGGCGGCGGGCCCCCGCGGAGGGGGCCTCGCCATATGGAGGCGGGCCAGGCCGAGGCCGGGAATCCTCGCCGAAGACCGGGAGGGGGCAACCTGAGAGCCGCAACCTGGCCTGCAGCGAGAGCCGTCGGGGGGGTAGGAGGAGGAGGAGGAGGAGGAGGAGGAGGAGGAGG